GAGTTATACATACAATTCAGCTTTCTTTATCATTATATTTTTACTTTCACTTACCTATTATATGTAGTATATAATAAGTGTAAGTATTGCGATCGTGAAAATTTTCGAATCTGAGCTTTCAACGGAGTTTTGAGGTCCTCTGAGTCCAAATAACGAAGTCCCGAAAAATGGCTGTGTGCTGTGTGTATGTTAGCATCCTTGCTAACATACAACCAAGTCCCTAAAAATGGCCTGTGTGTCTGTGTGTATGTTAGCAGTCTAGCTCAAAAACGAAAAGTAGTACGAAACTGATAATAAGTATTTAAGATAGGTATATGCCTTAGATATCCTGGCAACTATTTCCTTAAAATCTACTAACCGGAAGTGCAACTTTATATCAACGGTGACATACTTTTTCACAATTTTCTCAAAAAACGGCTGTAACGATTTTGATTAAACTCGGCGTATTATTGTATAATTTTAAGTAGTGTTTAATATCTTTTAGGTCTTATCCCCGTTGATGTCACTTTACAGTGCTTAAATGCCCAATGTTGATATCCGTCTTCCTCTAAAGTACCTTTAATATGGTTTATTTTAAATAATCTACTATCTCTCATTGTTAAAAGTTACGTTAAAAATGCCATATATAACTTTTGAAAGAATTTGATAATTGAATGAAGTAGAAACAAAGATGACATCAGATCGCATACAGGCTATGCCAGGGGCGGATTTACGGTGGGGGGAGGGGCTTTCGGTCTGAAGCCCCCCCAAAAATGGTAAAATATAGCCATGTTTTATCGAAAAAAATATTTAAAAAGTATCTCTTAAAGTATTATTGTTTGTGTAATTACATTTAAAAGGCCTTTAGGAATCACTTAAACACCATTTCATTCAGGTAGTTAGTTTCTTTCTTTTTTTCCAAAGTAATTATCGTTATTTTTATGAAAAAACAGCTTTAGCTTTCGGGCTGAAGACCCCCCAAAATTAAATCCTGGATCCAAAATTAGTGGGCTATGCGATACTGAACAGGCCAGCGCATAGACAGTATGCGATGGTCAGTAAATCGGAAATTTTCGGTTTTACCTAAAACATTTTTTGTTCATAACAAAAAACAAAAAAAAAAAATTGTTTTTATTGGTTAAAAGTGATGTATTGTTCGAGTAAGTTAATTTTATTATTGCAATACATGTATCGATACCTGAACTCCACAACGGCTAGCCGGAGTGGGTAAATTCTTCTCTTAGCTACGCAGCGATACAATAGGTAAGGAGGAAGTAGATAGGTATTAAAAGATGTATAATTACCCGGAGGAACAATAGCTTCCTGAGGAGAAACCTCTTACGACGAAGAGGGTATCGTCGCCGCGGCCCAGCGGAGCTCGACCGGGATGAGGAGGCAGCGGTGAGTGAAAGGTGGCGGAACGGTAATCTGATCCTTATTGAATTCAACGCAGGATTAATTCACATCCCAGCATCCTTGTATATATTTAGGCATACATAGAATAGATAACGAGTATATATATATATATATATATATATATATATATATATATATATATATATATATACTAGCTTTACCTTGCCACGCGCTGCTGTGGCTAAGCTTGGCAAAAAGAAATAGAAAGCACATATGAGTAGATTAATAGCAAAGCACATCTGTCATTTGTTTATTTATTTATTTATATGATATTTACAACTGTATACAAAAAATACATCTGGTAAATTCGCACATGGATATAATGACATGAAACACATGTTGAGAAGCTAACCATTGGTAGCACTCTAATAATATGTCTATATTAGGAGATCACGGGGCCATCTTCTTTTCAGACACCTCGGAGGATTATCAGGAATTAAATAGGAAGCAAGGTTAGAAACAAGAGGGTTGGGATGATTATGAAGTTTATTAAGGAAGGACAGATATCTGGATTGGGCCAAATCTGATACATAAGGAACATTAAATTCATTATGGATAGTTTTATTTGTAACAAAGTAAGGAGCATTGAGGATTTTACGAAGGATTTTGGATTGTCATTTTTAAAAAGTTGGGAAACAAATTTGTCTGTAAAATGGCTTCAATTTAAACTAATTCTAATGATTTTTTTTTCATGATTCAAATTAGACATTCATAATCATCTGAGTGAATACGTCGTCATTCATAATCATCAGAAACAGTCCGAGTTGCACTTATAATACTAAATTAAAAATTAATATAAAGAACGTATAATAGTATTGACCTACATAAGGAGAATCATATAACTTCTTCAAATGATAATTTCAATTACTGTAGTAATTATAAAATTTTCGATTAATCAATAAAAAATAAATAAAAAAATGCTTGCCTACCTTCGGTAGTGAGGAAGCAAAAGGAAATGGCCTTTTTTGAAGAGAAAGCAGTAAATGTTTAAAACTCTATAACTCTGCAACGAACCGTCCGAATTCGATGATTTTTTTTTATTTTGTCAGCCATTGAGTAATCTTTCAAATAAATATGGGTCAAAAAGTCTGTCCTTATTTAGTTATCGTCAAATAAAATATTGAATTCATCGTAACATTTTCCAGCTTGTTTTCAAGAAAGTATGTTATACACATAAATTAAAAGGGCTTCAAGGGGAAGACTTTAGCCAAGTTTCGTTAAAATCATCAAAAAATCCGCTTTGGCGCTACAGTTTATTGCGAAACATTCATTATTTGCGGCTTTGAAGAGAAAAAAATTTACATTTTTATTTTTTTTACATATATAAAATTATCGTATACAGAAGTACCATGCCAGAAACCAGAAACCTTCCCAGGAGTGTAGGGAACAATTTCCCAAAGTTTCATGGCGATCGGATGAATGGTTTAGTAATGCACTAAGGACAAACAGACGGACAGACAGGCATACATTCATTTATATATATATATAGATACTAGTAGGCCCGTCCGAAAAATTCGCACAGCATATTGCTCTCAAATGCTAAATTAATAATAAAATAAAATAATACAGAGTATAAAAAGATAAAGGAATCAAATGTTACTTTATCGATAAATATAATCGACAAAGGAAACAAAAATTAATTTAAATCTTCATTAATGTTTGGTACCAACATGTTTACAAATTTCAATAAGCTGTACCTATGCTAAAAATTTTCCGATTTCGATGATTTTTTTTTTTCCTTTTGTAGGGAATTTAGTAATCTTTTATATAATCATAGACATAACTCAGGGAAAAGTGTGTATTTATTTTAGTTATTCGCAAATAAAGTTTTTTTTCTTTCATAAATTGTTTGCTTCAATTTTCGGGGTGATTGGACTGTTTTGCCAGCCTGACGAGAAGGAAGTCTTCGAAATTGGTGGCTCAATCTTAAGATTTGGTTAAGAATTAACGATGATATGGCTTGCCGATCAAAAGCACCATCGATAAATAATATAAACTCCTCCTCTCTCGATCATAGAGACCTCAAGTCGACGAAATGAGACATCTATTCAATGACAGTACTACAATGAATGTTTGGTTGGGTGGATGCGAACCCTATGCATTCCGTTTTCTCGAAAATAGTATGTTTTGGGGCTTAAAAACGCAGAGTCCGATAGTTCTGAAGTTTACAAAGTTCCAATTTGTAAACTTTTGCCTTGACACAGGCATTTACTCTCCGTGGCCAGTCATCAATAGCAGCACTTCTTGAGGAAAGCGCTCAACTGCTCGGGCCAGAGATTGTTTGAAACTTTACATGAGCTCAATACTATAACGAAGACACCTGGATATAAATATCAATTTTGTATTAGAAAAATAGGAGATTACAGGAGCTCAACAGATATGTAATTAAATGAACAGCTATGTAATTAGTGGTAATTATTATATTCTTAAAATATAATTCAAAATAAATTTTAAAACTTGTTTAAGGGGACCCTACACGGTCAATCGGAATTGCACTAATGACGTTCCGAATTGTCGTGTAAGGTAGTGAATGAAGTACTGATGGAGGTGCGCTGCGGATTTCCGAACATCCGGAAATCAAAGGTTCATTCACGAGAAGTGGAGGGGGGGCTGAGGTAAAAGTAGTGGGGAGACTAACCATACTGCTGGATAGGTTAGGTTACCTAGGCCTCACAACCATTATAAATTTCTGATTTTCATTATATGTAAATAGTTAAATAATTTTTCATATCCCTTGTTTATAATTTTAAACCATCTTCAACTATTTCTTTTAAATAGTCAAGTGTGCAACAAATTTAAAAAAAATGAGGAAACTTCTCAATTTACTTTAGGAAAAAAAAAAATTTTAACGTTGTGTATATTTATCAGTTCTTTTCCCATTTTCCTCAACAAATTTATTATTTTCGCAATACCTTTCCTTAATTTTTGTAAGTAGTAGACTTACATTTTACTAACTTTTGTCAAAACTATTTTCTATGAGACTAACCTTACTACTAGATAGGTTAGTTTACCTAGGTCTCGTTATTAAGTAAATAATTTCATAAAAGTAAATAGTTGTTTATATCCCTAGTCTATATTATTATTAACAATTTTCAACTATTTTTTCTTTAAATAGTCAAGTAGGCAATAAATTGGAGAGAAAAAAAAGGGGAAACATCACATAAGTAATGATCAGTAATGATTGAACGTGTAAGGGTCTTCATGATCAAAGCGATAGCGGGCAATCCTGGAACTTCTTGTGACGTTCATTCATGAATTACCGTGTAGGGTCTGCTTTACATACCAACTAATAAAAACATATGTTCTTTTTAAAAACAATATGATTTAGACAATTAAATCGCAACAGAAAATATAAACTAATTTTCACTCCCCTAAAACACCCAACATATCAAATTTAGAATATGCTGAAATAATAATGGAGCTAATAGAAGAGCTCCTGTAACCTCCTGCGCTCCTAATACTGAAATAAAATAAAGTATAATCTACACTAAAAACCTTTTTACATATTAGAGAGAAAATATAGATTTCGCCTGTCAAATTCCGATATCGATATTATTAATATCGGACAAAATATCGATGTATCGTCATTTAACAAATATCCTCAGAGTGAGGTAAGTCATGGCCGGAGACCCATGACCTCAGAGCTGACATCATCTCCCTGGGAACGTCTTCTAGAAAGTGGACATACACTCCCAGAGCGGCTCCTCCGGCAGGTCCTCATCCTCTTGGTTAGTCTAGAAAGCGGCCGTTGTGGTGAGAGCTCGAGGCTTCCTCGATCGCCCATGTACCGGAGCACTTCACGCTCCTTCATGTTCCGGCCAGGAAGTAATTGCCAGGGCGACATGTCGATCTATCGGAGGAAGCCGGAATGGACTGAGCACATCAGGCCTCTTGTGGAGTCGCACTAACAGTAAACCTGTCATCGGGAAGAAAGTTTACGGCTGATTAATTTATATTGCTTGTGTTGTGTCTCTACTAGGCAAGGGATGTTGTGATGTCATTGGTATATACATTTATATGTATATTTTTATACCCGTTACATGTCAATTAATTTTAAAGTAATTGTTTTTGTTATTTACTTCCTCTCCTCCATTAGTTTTATAAAAAATATGATCTACAAAGTCTGTTTTACCGGTTGCATTCCTTATTTATGCGAACACAATTTCCCTCGAACAAAAGATGTTTGTAAACATATCAATCACCGCCAACCTGATCAACAAACTAAAATGGCACATGTTCTAAACAATTGTCTTGGCGGATTCCTTCCGGAACACTGCCCACATGATCAAAAGTTATTCCAACAGGATATACTTGTTTATATATATATATTTAAAATCAATTGAAGTGGTAAATTTATTTATAGTGTTTTAGTTTTTTGAACATTTTGTAATTTGTTTCCGAATTTAATTAATCGAAATCTTCTTTTCCTTGTGAAATATATTTGATAAAAGACAAGGTTAGGTTTTAGTGATTAAATTAATATTATCCCTGAGTTTTCTCCACGGCCCTGGTATGTTGTAGATCTATGGTGTCCTGAGTCGGACAGATACATCTTTAGATATTTCGGATTATATTTTTCCAGTTGGTTTCATACTGAACTGTAGCATCTTGTTCGATTCGATATGTTTATTTAATTTTTCTACCATTGTGTTTATGTCTACCTGTTTCGGGTGTAAGTTTTTTTCTGGGCCAAGGGAAAGGGCGGAGGCCAGAATTAAAAGCCCCCGGGGCCTAGACTCGCACTCATTCTTTTCAGTTTATCAGTTGCCGGACAAAACGTGTTTTGCATACGCTTTAGCCAGCTCGGCCACCCAGCTCTCCATCTTTTTTTTTCTAATAGGACAGGAAATCGTGAGGACCATCGAATGCCGGCACTGAGACAATGACTTTATGACAATTTTATCAAATTATCTTCATCAGGTAGCATAGCAACGCGTGTTTTACTCCACGCATTAGCCTGTTCGGCAACCCCGCCTTCACTATCTATCCATTGTGCTATTCATTCTGTAAAGGCTTCTTGATGGATAATGTCCTCCTCCTATCTTAACCTCCATGCCTTCATATCATGGAGGTTATATATTATATAATATATTATATATTAGGATGTTAGCCGTATATCATTAAGTGCTTACTCTTTATACTCTTTATATATATATATATATATATATATATATATATATATATATATATATATATATATATATATATATATATATATTTATATATTCGTTATTCAGATGAATATGGCCATGAATCACCGGAGGTCGTATGAATAAAGAATTTTATGTTCTCTATAAAATGGAAGAGTCCTTTGTCATTTTACGACCTAAAACTATGAAAACCATGAAGATGCAAGAAAGATATAAAAATATTAATCTAATAGGAATTTTAATTTTATGGTACCCCACTTTAATCTTATCGCAACAATATTATTAACCTGTTTTTCTGTATTTTCTTATTTCAGATTATTAAAATATTTTTCAACTATTATTGATGAATCATAGATTATTTAATGTACATTTTCTCGTTCATTTAAGATTTACTATGATTTATGAAATAGTGTCTATTTATGATACGGATATTGATAGCAGGTGTCGTTCGATTTTCAATCAGTCGCTTACAGTTTTCTAGCCGCAGGAATGTTTTTAGTTAGTCCGTGATAATCGATAAATAGACCGTGGTGATCGATAGTTAGGACTGTCACGTTGGTAATTGTCGATGCGGTCTAGGCACAATCAGAATCGATTCAGTTAAAGAGAAGACATTGGAGTTGCGTTAATTTATCGATTGAGAAATATATACAGGATTATTTTTCAGTTCTTAATGTCCAAACTCTTGGTAGTGATCCTAGACAACATTTCTAACAAAGAAAGTACGTTACGTGCATATGCTAATTTTCGAACGGAAAAAGGAGTCAAGACTAATTTTGTATCTTTCATAAGGTTGGCAAGTTTTCTATTGAATATGAAGGAATTGCTCAAAAATTGTTAGTGATAATTAAATTCTAAGTACACCATCGTAAAGTAGACTTAAGTTTTCTCAAATAAAATTTACTCTACTTTACGATGGTGTACTTAGAATTTAATTATATTGAATAAGTTTTGAGCAATTTCTTCGTATTCAATAAAAAACGTGGCCAGCTTAAAGAAGACCACAAAATTGGTCTTGTTGGAGATTTTTTGTCGAATCACCACCCAGAGTTTTGCCATTAAGAACTGAAACACCGTGCATATTAAAAATGTGAAAATATAGATCAAATAATTAAAGTATTGATCAGGATGAAAAGAGAAAAATTATTTTTAAAAAATCTTGTCCGCGTATCTTTCAATATTAGTGTCCATGTCTTGCAGACATGTTCCACAACTGCCTTTATCACAGTATTCATTCTATTCTAAAAAAAAATACTATATTTATTGAAATTATTAATTAAAGTTTCCTATAAACAGCTCAGTCCTCATAATAAATAAAACTTGTTGATCCGTACGAATAATTTGCAGACAATTTTGTTTAGCGAAGAAATAGCAAAACTATATGGAAATAAGTAGATCCTATGTATTATGTGAGAAAGGAATTAATATTTTTTACTTGGTCGATTAAAATATTCCATTAAACATAATAGACCAAAATATTTATACAAAGTTCTTTACTATGACCTATTTTTAAACGCTGACTGGGAAGATAATAAAAGTAATAAAGACAAAATAAGGGCCCGATCATAGGATATTTTGAATTATTAAAAAAAAATAAAATGTAAGAACAACCGTTTTTAAGAAATAATAAAGTTAATATATCAGCCAGGGGAAAAAATGTAGTAGACTATTCTATTCCTAAATGCTTTAAGGAGGAAGAAATTATTAAGTATACCAAAAAAATGGACTATATATTTGTTAATAATTGTCCGATTTTTTTTTGTTTTGTAGGTAATTTAGTAATATTTCTAATTATCATGGGTACAATGCAGAAAAAATGCATACTTTTTGAGTTATTCGGGAATAAAATTTCTTTTCCTTTCTAACTTTTTACCCAGAAATTTCGGGAGGATAGGACTATTTTTCGCATGTGAAGGAGAAGAATATCTTCAAAATGAATGGTCAATCATTGGATTGAATGAAGAATTGACGAAGTTATGGCGTATCGACAAATGAACACCTTTTAGAAATAATATGTATGATGATCGACTTAACTTGCTAGTTTACACCGCATTAACATTCTACCAACTTTTTCCTCATTTCTTATGATAATTCCATGTATTAATATAATATTCAATGCCATGTTTATTGAAGTACGTGAGAACGAAGCTCGTTCAAGATCACAACTTTCTTAACCTGAGTTCTTTTTTTAACTCCGACTAATCTCGCCATTGTTATTGCTTTAAATGGTCGTTCATTGCGATGATAACGAAGGCATTGAAATGTAAAACTCGAGTTTCTTACTACTCCGTTTATACTGGCTTCTGTAGGCTGATTACAACTGCATCGATGAAGCCACAACAAAATGAGATTTATTTATTTATTTTATTTTGTAAATAAAAAGAATTGGAAGTATTAGTTAGTTAAATATGCAATAAATATCCTTAATATGCAATTAAATGCAATGAATTATGAAATGAAAAACTTAATTTTATTTTTTTCCTTCGTCGTTAACCTATGACTTCCAGTCCTACAGTATCCTTTAACAATTCCCCACTTATCCCTGTTGAACAAATCTGATATTTAGGATTCCACTTGCACAAACGACTAACTTGGAATCCTCATACCAGACTGAAACGACAAGAAACCGCTCGACGTTTCCGCTTACTCCAACACTTAATATACAATCGCTCTTAGCTTCCAATTTATTACAAAAGACTCATATACATGACTATAATAAGCACTATTTGGATTTACGGAGTTAAGCTGTGGAGCTCCACTAAACCATCAAACTTCTCTCGTACCCAATCCTTACAATCCAAAATCCTTAATGCTCCTTACTTAGTCACTAATAAAATCATCCATAAAGACCTTAATGTACCATATGTTTCTGATTTGGCCCAATCCAGATACATATCCTTCCATGATAAACTGTAGAACCATCCGAATCCTCTCGTTTCAAACCTTGCTTTCTCCTCGATCCCTGATAAGCCTCCGAGGGCTCTGAAAAGAAGGTGGCCTCGTGATCTTCTTGTGTAAATTTATTTATTTGAGTGCTATCAGTGGGCTATATTTCTGTTTACACATTTACTTGATGTATTTATATTAATACAGTTGTAAATATCATGAATAGATATTTAAAAAAAAAAATTTTTTTTTTTAGGTCAGTTATAATTGTTCATTATTAAAAATAATGTTCACAATAATGGTTTGCTTATAATGGTCCGTATAAAAAGATTTTTTTAATTTCCACATACTCATAATCATCAAATCATATGGAAAATATTGCCATCGTAAAATAATTTAATAATAAACGAATTTCACAGTCGTTTAGGAGTAATAGGTGAAAAAACAAAAAAATATAGAAAAATCTGACTTATTTAGCTGTAAAACGTTTTACCTCGGTGGCCCGCGTTAGCAATTTTGTTTTTCACAAGTCTAAATCCTTATAATAATAATAATAATAAAAGGCTTTGCGAACCCGAAGGTGAAGGTTCGATGCCGACACCACCAATTCCTTATTACACACCTCCCTCCACCGTTCGCCATCCAAACCTAGTCCCTTCAAATCGGCTTTAATGCAATCTTCCCACCTTCGCTTCGGTCTACCCCTCGGACTTTTACCATTCGGTACAGCAAATATTAACCTTTTTGGAATTCTCTCGTTACTAAACCCAACAATTTTACAAGCCCATTTGATTCGCCGTGATGAAATCACCTCAATTATATTACCCGGATATAGTTCACGCAATTCGGCGTTGTGTAACCGTCTGAACTCT